CATTCAGTCAGCTGATCGGAGCTAGCCCAGCGAGAGCCGCAGCCGGCACGCTTCAGCGACCGCGAGGTTCACCAGAGAGCAGGAAAATCAGAGGGGACAGCACAGAGCTATCGCGACGCCCGACACCGCCCGACGCCCGACACCTCCCGAGCTCCCAGCAGCCCCTGCGAGAGAGCGGCTCACGTGGCGGGGGCGTTCCCACGGTGACGGCGGCCACTCCCCTCCCTGCCCCTTGGCGGGAAAGAGCCGCTGAGAGGGCGGCGATGTCGCTGCCCGCCGGGCGCAGGGAGGAAGGAGCCGGTCGTGTTGCTGACCCTGCCGCTGGTGTCCGACTGCGGACCAATATGGTCGCCTCCAGACAGAGAGCTTGCAGTGAGGTGACTGCAGCAGCTCAGACAGAGACCCCGTCCCAGACCGTGGCTGTTCAGGTCTCTGGGTGCAGGGAGCGCCAGAGCCTGCTGCTGCCGGGGGAGGGAGGACAGCATTCCACCTGCGGGAGGTGTGAGCAGGTAGAAGATCTGCTTAGCCTGGTGGCAAGGCTTAAGGAGGAGGTTGAGACGCTGAGGACTATCAGGGAGTGTGAAAGGGAGATCGACTGGTGGAGTAACTCCCTGGCAGGGAAGGACCCCCTGCCTTCTCAGGCAGAGGGGGATGGCCCGAGACAGCCCCTGCCCTGTAGCTGTTGCACAGAGATAGGGGACCAAAAAGACGACGAGGGTTGGAAGCGAGTTCCAGTTCGACATCGTGGGAAACCCTCCCCCTTCCTGCCCTGCTTCACCAGGTGTCCCTCCGTAATAGGTTTGAGGCCCTGGATCTTGAAGGAGAGGTAGGTGAGAATGTGGGGCAAGGCCACCCTACAAGGCCACGTGGGAAAAGGCGATCGACTTTGCACCTCAAGACTGCCTCTGTTAAGAAAGAAAGAAGGGTCATTGTAGTAGGGGATTCCCTTCTGAGAGGAACACAGAGCCCGATGACAAGTGAGAAAGGTTTGTCTCACAGAGGCAAAAGGATGCTGGGGCACGAATCAGCAGGGCTCATTTGGAGAGCTTTAAACTAGATTCGAAGGGGGATGGGGTTGTAGCTGGGCTTGCCCCAGTGGGGCAGCGCTCCAGAATTGATGAAGACTGGGAGGCCTCCTATAATCCTCGGGTGAAATCGGTGTGCTCAGCTCGCTCCCTGGAATGTCTGTACACCAATGCGCGCAGCATGGGAAATAAGCAGGAGGAGTTGGAAACCTGTGTTAAGTCAGGAGACTGTGATCTGGTGGCAATTACAGAGACGTGGTGGGACAGCTCACATGACTGGAATATAGTCATGGAGGGCTATGTCCTCTTCAGGAAAGACAGGCCAGCCAGGCGGGGTGGTGGGTTTGCTCTTTATGTGCGGGAGCAACTACAATGCACCGAGTTCTGTCCAGGGACAGATGACAAGCGAGTTGAGAGTCTGTGGGTGAGAATGAAGGGGCAGGCTGGCAGGCGGGATACTGTTGCGGGTGTCTGTTACAGACCACCAGATCGGGGTGAGGAAGTTGACGAGGCCTTCTACAGGCAGCTGAGAGCGGCCTCACAGCCACAGGCTGTGGTCGTCGTGGGGGATTTTAACTTCCCTGATGTTTGCTGGAAGGACCACTCGGCAACCCAGCCGCAGTCCAGGAGGTTCCTCCAGCGTATGGGTGATAACTTCCTCCTGCAAATGGTGGATGAGCCGACCAGGAGAGGAGCGCTGCTGGATCTCATCCTCACCAACAAGGAGGGTCTGGTCGAAGCAGTAAGGGTTGAGAGCTGCCTTGGTTGCTGCGACCACGAGATGGTGGAATTCAGGATCTTGTGTGGTAGGACCAGTAGAATAGGAAGTAGAATTGCAAACCTGGACTTTAGCAGGGCAAACTTTGGCCTTTTCAAGCAATTGCTAGGGGAAATCCCATGGGCAAGGCTGCTTGAAGGTAAAGGGGCCCAAGATAGTTGGTTGGCATTCAAGGATTGCTTTTTCCGAGCTCAAGATCAGAGCATCCCGACACGTAGGAAGTCAAGGAAGAGGACCAGGAGACCTGTGTGGCTAAATAGGGAATTGCTGGGTATGCTCAAGTGGAAGAGGAGAGTTTACAGGTCATGGAAGGAGGGGCTGGCCACTTGGGAGGAATATAAGGCTGCTGCTAGAGGACGTAGGAAGGCAGCTAGGATGACTAAGGCCTCCTTAGAATTAAATCTGGCGAGAGGGGTCAAGGACAGCAGAGAGAGCTTTTCCAAATACATGGCAGATAAAACTAACACACAGTGTAGGCCCACTGATGAACGGGATGGGTGCCCTGGTGACAGAAGATACAGAGATGGCAGAGTTACTGAATGCCTTCTTTGTCTCTGTCTACTCTGCCGGAGGCAGTCCTGAAGAGCCCTGTACCCCTGAGACCTCAGATGAAGTCAGGTCAATGGAGCGTTTTGCCTTAGTCGATGAGGAATGGGTTAGAGACCAGTTGAGCAATCTGGACATCCATAAATCCATGGGTCCAGATGGGATGCACCCGCGGGTGCTGAGGGAACTGGCGGAAGTCATTGCTAGACCACTCTCCATCATCTTTACCAAGTCTTGGGAAACGGGAGAGGTGCCCGAGGACTGGAGGAAAGCAAATGTCACTGCAGTCTTCAAAAAGGGCAAGAAGGAGGACCCGGGTAACTATAGACCGGTCAGCCTCACCTCCATCCCTGGGAAAGTGATGGAACACCTTATCCTTGGTGCCATCTTAAGGCATATCAAGGCTAAGAGGGTTATGAGGGGCAGTCAACATGGCTTCACCAAGGGGAAGTCATGCTTGACCAATCTCATAGCCTTTTATGAGGAAATAACACGGTGGATGGATGATGGCAGAGCGGTGGATGTGGTCTACCTTGACTTCAGCAAAGCATTTGACACAGTCTCCCACAGCATCCTCACAGCTAAATTGAGGAAGTGTGGTCTGGGTGATCAGGTAGTGAGGTGGACTGTGAACTGGCTGAAGGAGAGAAGCCAGAGAGTTGTAGTCTATGGGGCGGAGTCTAGTTGGAGGCCTGTATCTAGTGGAGTGCCTCAAGGGTCAGTACTGGGACCAGTATTATTTAATATATTCATCAACGATTTAGATGAGGGAATTGAGTGTACTATCAGCAAGTTTGCTGATGACACTAAGCTGGGAGGAGTGGCTGACACGCCAGAAGGCTGTGCTGGCATCCAGCGAGACCTGGACAGGCTGGAGAGTTGGGCAGGGAATAACTGGATGAAATATAACAAGGGAAAGTGTAGAGTCCTGCATCTGGGCAGGAACAACCCCAGGTTCCAGTATAGGTTGGGGAACGACCTGTTAGAGAGCAGTGTAGGGGAGAGGGACCTGGGGGTCCTAGTGGACGACAGGATGACCATGAGCCAACACTGTGCCCTTGTGGCCAAGAAGGCCAATGTCATCCTGGGGTGTATTAGAAGGGGGGTGGTTAGTAGGTCGAGAGAGGTCCTCCTTCCCCTCTACTCTGCCCTGGTGAGACCGCATCTGGAATATTGTGTCCAGTTCTGGGCCCCTCAGTTCAAGAAGGACAGGGAGCTGCTGGAGAGAGTCCAGCGCAGGGCAACTAAGATGATTAAGGGAGTGGAGCATCTCCCTTATGAGGAAAGACTGAGGGAGCTGGGTCTCTATAGTTTGGAGAAGAGGAGACTGAGGGGTGGCCTTATTAGTGTCTATAAATATATAAAGGGGGAGCGTCACGAGGATGGAGGCAGGCTCTACTCAGTGGCAAACAATGATAGGACAAGGGGTAATGGGTACAAACTGGAACACAAGAGGTTCCACTTAAACTTGAGAAGAAACTTCTTCTCAGTGAGGGTGACAGAACACTGGAACAGGCTGCCCAGGGAGGTTGTGGAGTCTCCTTCTCTGGAGACATTCAAAACCCGCCTGGACACATGCCTGTGTAACATTATGTAGGTGTTCCTGCTCCGGCAGGGGGATTGGACTAGATGATCTTTTGAGGTCCCTTCCAATCTCTAGCATACTGTGATAAAAACTGGAGCATAATAATAAAGGATGTAATGGTCAATTTGTGTTCCTAATTGTACCCAGACTGTGGATGCTATGGGCAGAATGTTTCTTTAGGTTGCTAGGTCCTGCTGAAAGCCACAGAAAACAAAGACTCCCTTGCTGCTGAAGCCCAGCTAGCAAGACATGGCATGGAGATGGAGCACTCCCCTATTTCACCTGTGGGAAGAAGGGCAAACCCGTTGCTGGTATCAAGAAGTGACCTTTTGCCAAATGAAGGCTGTTGTGTCATTCACACCAGCAGTGTGCTCTGTCCCAAATGGTTTTATGGCTGCTCCTGAAAATCAGTGCAGGAGACTGGGAGCGGAGGATGAGTCCGAACTGAGAACGGATCTGTTGTAACTCTCTACAACTGGGGGCATCTTTTCTTCTAGTGGTCCTCTGCTGCTTTTTGAGCAGCTATGCTCAGGCACTCAAATGTACCCTTTACTTCTTACACAGCATCTCTTTGGGAGGCTGTGGCATCCAGTCATGTAACAGTAATGACAGCTTTCTGGCAATGCCTTTCCTAGGAGCTGTGTTCTGTTGTCAGACAGAATCATCTTCTCACCTGTACCTCCTTATTGCTTAGTGATTCAGTGATGATGTGTTTGAGAGCTCTGGGTGAGGGTCTCTGTGCTGCCTCTGCCCGGGGCCGTGTCTGTGAGTCCTGCAGGGACCCGTCTGTCCTGGCTCCCCAGGGAAAGGGACAGAAAGTTCCCCCTTCCACTGCTGCCGATGACTCTGCTCTGGGGCCAGGTCGGTGCCCCTCAGGGCTGCGCAGCTCTGATATGAGGCTCAATGGTGTCCTTTCCCAGTGCCCCTCGGTGCTCCCTCCCCTCCCGCACAGGCATGGAGCGGTTCTGGAGAAATGGATTTTAATGGAAAAATAAGAGAAAAAGACTCGTTAAGTCAACCAGCAAGCGCTGCACTTGCTGTGTTGCTTGGGTGAGGTTCTCAGCCCCTACTTTATCCCCCAGTACTCTGCACCGTCAGGCTGGGATGGTTCCAGGTCCATCCCCACATCAGCCCAGAAGTCATGGGGGTACTTTCCAGTATCGACGATGTCTTCAAGGCTCTGGATGTCTTTGGCTATCTCATTGACATCGTAGTCACAGGTGAGCAGCTCAGCTGGCAGTGAGAGCGAGGTGAAGTCTTCAAGGCTCTGGATGGCTTTGGCTATCTCATTGGCATCGTAGTCACAGGTGAGCAGCTCATCTGGCAGTGAGAGCGAGGTGAAGTCACAGAGGGAGATGTCTGTGTCTGTGCCACCAGGGTCCTCAGGTATGCGGCTGCTGCTGGGACCCTCCTGGATGACCCTCTCAGTGTCCTCATAGCAACCGAAGAACCTCAGGGCCTCGTCAAGAGGCACCTCTTTGTCACGTGCAAGGTTGTCATTCATGTCTTCAAAGCCTTGATGGTGGGGGTCAGAAAAGCTGCTTGGAGGGACATCGTTTCCTGGGGGGATGTTAATTCCCAAGGTTGTCCCCACGGAGGTGGCTGTGCTGGGGGTGTTGGGCTGTGCAGACACCCCGTCGATGTATTTATTGCTGGGGATGGAATTCAGCAAGTCTGGGGCAGCTGGGGCCAGCGTTCTAGCCTTTCTGATGGCGTCATCATGGTCCTCAGGCATGATGACGCTGCTGGAACCATGCTGGATGACTGCCTCCATCTCCTCAGACATACCAAAGAGCCTTAGAGCCTCTTTGAGGAGCATCTCCTCAGTGACTTCAATGTCTGCATCTGGCTCACCAAGTCTTTGATTCTGGTGGTTAGAAGAGCGGTTGAGGAGGACGTTGCTGCCCGTGGGGATGTTATTACCAGGGGCTATCCCCATGGAGGTGTTCATGCTGGCGATGTTGTTCCCTGCAGGCACCCCGTTGATGTGGGGGTTCCTAGGGTTGGGCTCTGGCAGCACTGGGGCCGCTGCTCCTGTCCCCTGATGGTTGTGGGGTGCAAGGTGTTGTGCTGGGCCCTGGGGGGTCCCGGGGGCTGCCCAGGCCAGGAGGGTCCCGCAGTACCCAGTCCCCAGCAGGGCAGCACCTGGCAGAGTAGCAGCACTGAAGCCCGGTGTGCAGGTGTCTGCTGGAGGTGGTCTAGGCACGGTCCACTGCACAGAGAAGTGCTGGGGGTTGAAGAAGCAGCCACATGGAGCCCTCTGCATCCCTGTGAGGGAGAGTGGGAGCCGTGCTGAGCCGTGGGGACGTCCAGGGCCACCCGCATTGCCTGCAGCCCCCAGCTCTGCGCCAGGCTCGGGGGGAGCTGGTGGCCGGGGCGCTCCCTACGGGTGAGCTGCTGTGCTGGCAGGACGGGCTGGGAAAGAAGGAGGAGAGTAGCTTCTGGGAGGTGGAACGGGAGAGATGGCCCTGAGCCTTTGGGAACGTCCCCGGAGATGGGACTGACTGGGCACACCCCAGCCAGGCGAGAGAAGGGATGCCCTGCCGGGCTTGCAGAGCCCCTGTGCCGGATCTGCCTGGGGACAGAGGGGTGGGATCCCCCAGCACCCGGCCTTGGGAATGTTGGAGGTGTAGAAGGTGCTGGGGTGCAAGAGCAGACAGGGGTGACAGACCTGCTGGTGGCTCCTGCTCGTCCGAGTGTGACCACGCTCTCCAGGGGATCCATGATGCAGGGAAGGGCTGCTGCTGGCAGTTGGCAAGGGTTGGCAGAGGTTGGCACAGGTTGGCTTGGCCTGAAAGAGAGACAGGAGCCATGGCCGCGGTCACCTCCGCTCTTGCCCCCACAGCAGCCGTGGCTGCCGGGTAGGTTCCCACCTTGAGGGTAGAAGCCTTCGGGGAGCGCAGAGTTTGGAATGAGCTGAAGCACGAGCGGGGCCTGGGGGCCATCCAGTGGGAGCTGCTGTGGTGGCAGCTCCATGGTCTGTACTGACTGGTGGCTGTTGCTAAGGACTCTTGGACACCACCCCAGCGGAACGTTGGGGCTCCCCGTGTTCTGCCCCGCCCTAGCATTGTCCCCAGCTGCTGCTGGGGAGGGAGAGGTTTAAAGGGGCCGGGGGTCCTCCAGCCCCTAGCGATGGCTCCCAGGAGCTGTGGGTGCAGGCGCCTTTTGCTGGAAGCCTTGGTCCATTCCCTCAGCAGTGATCTCCTTGGGATGAGCAATACTTGGTGGAAGGTGTCACTCAGTTCATAAACAATTGGCTTCGAGACTGGTGCTACAGGCAGGGCTTTGGATTCTTTGATAACAGCTGGTTTTATAGGGCACCAGTCTGGACAATGACAAGTGAGAAAGGTTTGTCTCACAGAGGCAAAAGGATGCTGGGGCACGAATCAGCAGGGCTCATTTGGAGAGCTTTAAACTAGATTCGAAGGGGGATGGGGTTGTAGCTGGGCTTGCCCCAGTGGGGCAGCGCTCCAGAATTGATGAAGACTGGGAGGCCTCCTATAATCCTCGGGTGAAATCGGTGTGCTCAGCTCGCTCCCTGGAATGTCTGTACACCAATGCGCGCAGCATGGGAAATAAGCAGGAGGAGTTGGAAACCTGTGTTAAGTCAGGAGACTGTGATCTGGTGGCAATTACAGAGACGTGGTGGGACAGCTCACATGACTGGAATATAGTCATGGAGGGCTATGTCCTCTTCAGGAAAGACAGGCCAGCCAGGCGGGGTGGTGGGGTTGCTCTTTATGTGCGGGAGCAACTACAAGTTCCTCTTCAGATAAAATAAGGGATTCCAAAACACAAAGTCACAGATTCAATGTAAACAAAATAATTTACTTTATCATATTATACATAGTTATACTGTGGGATAAAGGGATATGTGAAATTTACCTGGGTCCAGGTAGCCTAATTCATGAAAAAAACAAACCACTATATACTGCATATATTTTTATATATTCCTCATTGCTAAGTCTACTCATGCCCATGTTTTGTTTTTTAAAGCAGGATGCTACTAGAGGGGGGTTACAGGATCAGATAGACTTTTAACCTGCCCCTGTTCTGTCATAATGTTGTAATGATTTCAGGAGGGATGTGAAAAGGATCCCAAAGTCCTGGCATCTCAATTAATTCCCCTTCAGGACATCAAAAGCAGGTCAGAGCAGCAGTTAACTTGTAAGCTAACACTTTTAGGCCTCTATTGGTTGTCACCTGGTTGACTTTATTTCAGCAAAACTCTGCTGATTCCTCTCAGAAATACTTGCATGCAAGTAGCTGCAAAATCTATCTCTGTGCTGCCCTGGACAGCAATGAAAGGAATGTAACATCAGGATGGCAGAAAGGTGAGGAAGGAAGAAGGGAAAATCAGCAAAAAGAAAAGACCAGTTTTAGCTACTGAGGGCAAATGAGATAAGGAAATATCTGGCGATGTTCACAATAATTCAGACATTGTCCCAGACCTTAATTACTTGCATAGGTAACTGTGGACCTGGTAGGAAGGATGCAGATCATGTCTGTGTGCTCCATCTGCTGCCTGCAGAGATGGGAATGTTCCAGACCAGGTGTTGCTGAGCATTGCTCTTGTCTAGCAGCAATATAAGTTTAATTAGAGGGCTAATTATTCCCACTCTGGAGCAAATCTATCATACATGCAATCGCATTCTAAGTCTTTTTCCTGGTGTTCATGCCTTATACATTTATCTTCCATTATCATGTTACTGACTTGTTTTGCTCAAGTGAGGATAAGCCTTTGGTGCATGTGAAAACTGCAAAAAAAGGGAATTGGCCAAGCTTGACTCTAGGTGATACTTCATTGTAATGGTGTTTGTCAGCACAGAAAGACATTTCATGCTGGTTTTCTAAATTTCTTGTGAAATAGGTATTTTACACCTGTGGTAACTAAGGGCTCTGATCAGTGGGGAATTGGACCCAGATGTTTGTGTTCTGCTACAACTATAAAGAGCATCAGGCAAAACTTCTCTTTCAGTTAAACCAGGAGTAACCAATTCCTGATTTCCAAAGAGCTGCTGTATTTACTTCAGCATAGCAGACAATGGGATTATGTCTATTAAAGTTTTATCCTGTTTTACGTTCAGTTTGAAAGGTGTGGTGTGTCGTGGTTTAAACCCAGTCAGGTAATTCGTTCGCTCACTTCCCCCCCTTTTCTTGCCCTCCCCCTGCTCTCGGAGGGACGGAGAGGAAAATCGAAAAGAATGCAACTCCCACAGGTTGAGATAAGAACAGTTTAGTAACTAAGGTATAACACAAATCACTACTGCTACCACCAATGATAATAATGATAAAGGAAATAACAAGGGAAGAGAATACATCATCTCACCACCAGCCGACCGATAACTCGTCCCCCCCCAGCCCGACCAAGCTCTGACCGATACCTCCTCCAACCCTGCAGTCCCCGGCCCTTCCGGCTAACTCCCAGTTGCATCCTGGGCAGGACGTGCTGTGGTATGGAATACCTCTTTGGTCAGTTTGGGTCAGGTGTCCTGTCTCTGCTTCCTCCCGGCTTCCCCTCCTCCCTGGCAGAGCATGAGGCTCACAAAGTCCTTGGCCAAACCTAAACATCACTATCAGCTCTGTTCCCAAGCTGAAAGTCAAAACACTGCACTGCACCAGCTACCAAGGAGGAGAAAAATGACTGCTACTGCTGAACCCAGGACATGGTGTAACCTGTGCTTTCTTTCTCTGGCTTTGTGGACTATGGACAATTCTGCATCTTCTCACTGCTAACAGCAGAGAGTCTTCAGGCTTTCAGGATTAGCAACTTGCTCTTCAAGGTGTGATCTTACCTTTGTTCTGAGACTTTTTAACCTTACTTAAAAGCAGCCTATTTAGGAAAAACCTTAGTTTTGAGCCTTTTTTTTTCTCAAGCTCCTTGAATTTACTGTCCTTCCATAGTATCCTGGGTTCAGCAGTAGCAGTCATTTTTCTCCTTCTTAGTAGCTGGTGCACTGCTGTGTTTTTGACTTTCAGCCTGGGAACAGCGCTGATAACACTGATGTTTTCATTTGCTGTTCAGTAATGTTTTAGTCTGACCAAGGTCTTTCTGAGCCTCATGCTCTGCCAGGGAAGAGGAAAAGCCTGGAGGAAACAGAGACAGGACACCTGACCCGAACTAGCCAGAGAGGTATTCCATACCACAGCACGTCATGCCCACCATATAAACTGGAGGCAGTTACCCAACAGGGTTAGATCACTGCTCGGGTCAGGCTGGGTGTCGTTTGGCGGGTGGTGAATGGTTGTATTCTCTTCCCTTGTTATTTGGTGGTAGCAGTAGTGGTTTTGTATTATACCTTAGTTATGGGACTGTGGGAGTTACATTCTCTCCATTCTCATCTCCAACCCTCTGGGAGGGGGAGGAGGGGTGTGTGTGGGGGTGTGGTGTGGGAGTGTGGTGGGGGAGGAAGAAAGGTGGCTGTGTGGTTTTGAGTTACCGGCTGGGCTTAAACCATGACCCACAGGCCAAAGGCTGATGCCCTGTTTTTATAGGGTCCACAGAACAGAGAAACATGGATCACCCCACTGTCAGGCAGTAGAGAACTATGTGTTGAAAAAAGGGCACTTCAAGGAAATCCTACCTTTAAAAAGAAACATCTTAATTGTATTTTTATTCTGCTGGTTTCTACAATGCAGTGAGGACTTTGGTTCTGCATATATCCTCGTAGAGTGGGAAGAGAGAGGGAATGCTCCTCTGCCTGGTTTTGTGCCTATCAGGTTTTAAACATGACCATATTCTCCAGGCTAAGACCTTTATAATATGCCATTTCAGACCTTTTGTTAGTTAAATTTGACCTTGAGATTTCCCCCTGCTACTCCTCCTCTTGTGGGCAATCTTCTAAAGATTCACCCCACTTTAACATCTAAGGCTTACATTAATTACCGACCAATGGCTTCATTTTTTTTCAGGAAGCACTTTATGTCTTACTCATGGAGCCAGGAGAGCAATCACCAGGATGCACCACAACGTACACATAGTTTTTGTAACTTTAATATAATCTCTGAATATTCCGTGATTCTGTAATGTCTGTCATGCTGGGCTTGAGCCCTGTTGCTGATGAACTGCCTGGGGCACTGTGTAGCAAATGCATTCTTTCACAGCCTAAAACAAAGCAGAGAAAACCATATAATGGATTCCATTTGTGTAACATTAGGGGCTAAGTAGAAGTGCCACTCCTTTACCATGCTAGTTGTCAGAAGACATTTTTGAAACCAGATAGCTTAAGTGATAGCAGCCACCAGCCAAAACCCAAACATGTGTTTGTGTATGAAACAGGCACATGTGGAATATATGATAAAGCTTTGGAGGTGTTTTTGTAAAACACATTCATAGAAAGGGCATGAAACCTCAGAGATAGCAGTGCAAAATACATGGTGAAAATAATCTCAGGAAAACCTAGAGAGAGATTTTTGGGCTGGGTGCTGGTCAGACAGGCGATGGTGTGCACAGCTCTGCAGAACAGTCCTTTCTCACAATTCATGCCATGGAAGGAGGAATGGGACTTTTAGTGTCCTTTGTAAACAGGATCTGCTCATTGACTCCACCTTCAGTTATTTTCCTTTACAACACGCAAGTAACAACCATGCAAGTATCAAAATGTTTTGGCGGTCAAGGTCAAAAAGGGATAATAATAACCTACAATCTCTTGAAGCCTATGCAAACTATATAGGATTTATTATACTTTGATAGGGAATAATTAGGCTATGAGAACTCTTACCAAAGTTTCCAATATAAACATGTCTAACTTGTATGCCATAAGCATGACTGAAGGACAGGGAGGGGAACGCCCCAAAACCACAATTAGAAATT